GTATGTTTATTTTTGTGATAGGTAGCAGTTGCAGCTATATTCAAGCGTGACTCCTCTAGTGTTGTGTTAAACTGGTTTTTATATATATTATATATGTTCACAACCAAACAATATTGATGTATAGACTGTTTTTCCAGGGTGATATACAAAAAGGCATAGATTATTATGAGAAGGCGAGGTTAATTCTTTCCGTAAAGGGTACTCCTGTAGACATGGCCTCTCTGTATCAGCATCTGGGTTGGAATTACTACAAGACTGGCGAACTGAATGAGTCACAACGGTACGTTTTTCATCTAAGATTTTAAAATTAATGTATATTTTTTATACGGGTTACCAGTGAAACGCGCTCTGTGTCGAAGCTAAGGAAATTGTATTGAAAATTCCTTGATCTATTTTATGGTACACGTCACACACGTTATGTGTATGCTCTGGCCTGACCTCTTGCATCAGAATTATCAATTTAGAACGATCATATATGACGACCGCATTTGTGCCGTAAAATGTATCACATTGGGTTAAAAAGGAACAAATAACCGACCTTTCCTTCAAACCGTATATACTTGCATAAATATATCTCTAAAAAGTTTTTCTAGGTAATGCAATGTCAATCGTTCATACTTTTTTCAAGATTCTTAAAAAAGGCAGTGCAGACTCTGCAACGTCTGGAAATTCTGGTTCTGAATAAAGTTTACTTTTCACGTGACACTGTAAAAGTAATAACAACCAAGGTTTTCTTTAAAAAACGAATATACTTTTCTGTTGATATCTTCCAGTTTCAGTGGCGGAGGTTTACGACTTCTTTTGTGTTATTAGTTATGTGTTTTCTTAAATAGAGATGGCGTTTTGATTGACAGGTATCTTCAGAAGGCATACAAACTCGAAGAGGAGGGGGGTATGCACACAAACGTTGTTATGTGCCAAACCTTTTCGACCTTGGGACTTGTCTTGACAGGGATGGGTAAGTGTAATCATCGCGTCACATAATTTTCATCTCTTTGAAGAGCAAGTTTTAAAAAACATAAGTTATAAATTAACCGGGAAGGAAAACACTTTATTTTCTTATTAAAATTGAAGCTATATATGGGGCAAGATTTTAGTGTGTACTAGTAAGCCGTCCAGCCTGTGTAGCAATAGGCTATATATGTTTTCTCTCGTTTTAATTTTTTTCTATTTTTCTTTATTAACTATAGAAGGAGTGAAATCATCATTTCATTAATGTAATGATAATAATTTCAGGAAAGTTTGAGGAGGCCATACGCTATTTTATGCACTCCTTTGAGCTACGGGTGTCCAACTTTGGAGAACACCCTTCCCTCGGGAGTATCTACAACAATATGGGAATGACGTATCTTGAGCAGGGAGATGATGACCGAGCGCTGAAGAATTTTGAACTTGGTCTGAGATACAAACGAAAGTTTATGAAACAACCCAATTTAGCCGTGGTTGACTCTTTAAGCAATACAGCAATGCTTTACGTCAAAAAGGGGAATACTGAGAGAGCTTTGCCTATGCTGCAGGAGGCGTTAGCTATGTGTCAGAAAATTGGGAAGACGACAGATATTGCTCTCATTTATGATGATTTTGGACTTGTTTGTATGAAGAAAAAGGAGTTTCCTGAAGCTGAGGATTATTATCAGAAAGCTGTTGACACCCGAAGAGAACATACACCTAATCATTTCACATTGGTTGAGCACCTGCTTCATTTAGGACAGGCACAGGCTGAGCAAATATACGAGGCAGTGGCTCAGCTAGCTGACCAAGAAAACGTGGCACCAAATGGACAGACTGTGGTTGCTGAAAATAACAGCAATAAATGTGAACAAGCATTTAAACATCATGATGGTAATTTGTCCACGAATGAACAAAACACAATGCCCAAGGCGACTGGTAGACTACGCCAAGGGGTTCTACGCTGTGATCAATATCGAGATCTATATGAACAAAGTCGGTCCAACTTGCAAGAAGCTGCTGAATTAACTCCTCAGGTTCATGAGCAATTCCCAAGATCTAAAATGCCGTTCACAGTTTACAAGGAACTGGCAAAGCTTTACAGGGTGGCCGGTGAAGCCAAAGCGTCGACGAAAAATGAAATGTTGGCAAATATGGAAGTGACGCGTTTGAAACGTCTTGGCGTACAAGTTGATGAAGATTTTCCGGTGGAGAAAGCATAATATTTGCTCTAAAAATACAGGCAACTGGCATTTCAGGAACGGTTATCTTTATGATTCAAAACTTAATATTGTACCCTGTATATACCGATACCATGTATCTGATTTTGACATACAAAAAAAATTAACAAAAAAGAAATTCATCAGTTTTTGATCGATAGGACTGGATTACATGGTTTTGTTCTTTCAAAAGCAGCTCACTGGTGCTAGTACAAAAATTAAGTAACACACTGAAACTGGGTTTTAATTAGGAACAGATTCTGATGGCATTTTATTGAGTAGATTGAACAAAATGAATTGACCGGCTGAACATACAACATAGTCTGCTGTAAGAGTTTGCCATTATGCATATGGTCCTAAAACAACTTGGGGCGTAGGCTGCGAGGCACAAAGATTTTGAAAAAATATACATGTTGAGGAGTTCTTTATAAAATGTATGACTTCTTCCATTTCTCAGTCAGTAAACGTCCTAGAGAGATCCAAGTGCGATCTAAATAACGTTATATCATGAGTATTGTAGACTTAAAACGGCTGTCCCCCAGTAGTAATTGCTTCGCCACCGGCACTGAGACACATCTACCGCAATCTGCTTCTTCCCGCCTTTTGTGATACGACATCATTGAGAGGATGTATCGAAATATTCGCTTTGATATCCATCGAAATCTGAACTATTATACCTGGCATACATGTCCTTTCCATATGTCTTTTATTATCCAGTGTTTATAAGATGATGATTGTTTCTTTTTTCTCCTTGTTTATCTTATCTGAGGGACAGTACAAGACCAAAATACGTTTTGTCTTGTGTGATGAACTTGTGCAATCAAGTCACTAGAGCAGCTGCATCAAACAGATTTCAAACAAATATCAAACAAAAAAAATGACTGTATTGTAATGCGCTGTACGATACAAAGGGACTATGCAAAATGAAAAAAAGGTTTATACTACATTTGATATAATGAAATAAGTTAGTAGTTCAAGTCGTGTGTTGGTTGTTTTTGAAGAGTAATATTAAATATTAGAACATTTAATTATTAACATTTGTTGGTCCTTGTGGCACAACCACTTTTTCTTGTACATGTATCAGAGCTAGTTAGTGCTGTGATTCCAATACAATAAATAGCTTTGAATAGTGACTAACGAAGCTTTGTTTCTTCGTGACTTTGATTCAGTTGTATTATGACATATTTACATAATATGATATAAATGTGTACAACATTTTCAAAATCTTTATTTAGTATTTGTGTTCATTTCTTAAATGGGTTACAAGCCTTAATCCATGAACTTCAGTCCACAAAATCTACTAAGAGTCCATCGCTAGTTTAACTCGAAGTACCATGTAAGAAGCACGGAATTTTCAAAATGTTTGTCAAAGTACTATGTACCATGCTAACAGACTAGTCACAAGAACCTCTGTCTGAGACAAAAAATAATTTAAAACTCAAGTAGTACCCATATGGAAAATAGTTGATAAAAGATGTTCTAAACCACAGACTGTAAAACTAAAATGGTTTTGTTGGGGTGTGATTAATGGATAAAATTTAAACCTGGGACTTGAATTTCAACCTGGCCTACGACATATAACCTGTAAAAGTACTTGTATCAAGTGTCGGTATAGGCACTTGTAGACATAAGCATTGTTCACACTTACCACACCTCCATAAATAGTTTGAAAAGCCCGTGTATTTTTAGAAAAGTGACAAATAACTGGACTTCCCTATGGTTTCGCTATTTAGGCATTGATTTGCAATAGGCTAAGGAAAAATACAGGTGAGCACAGACATCAATGCATGGGTTGGAATATAAGGCACATTTACTCGTAGGTCTAAGAGCAGTATTATCTCCCATACATTTTCAGCCACGTGAGTCACATTTTAGTACATTGAACGCACTAAGAACCAGAGGATGGAAAAAAGATTTTCGCGTTCTCTTACGTTTATTCTAAATGGTAAAAATATTTCGTGTTCTCTTAGCTTTTTCTCTGAATTGTACCCCCTCCAACCCTCACTTAAAATTTGCTTCCTATGCTACTGATCATGATAGAAGTCAATGTAGGTACATACCGGTCCAATATAACGCACGTATTTAACCCAACTTAATCATCGGCCCAATCTTCCTATAGATATTACCCCTAGAAGACAACCCTATATTGATACATTCTAAATTGTCTCCTGCATCCTTTCGAAAACTGTAAATTTACATTTATTTTGGTCTTCCAACTAAAATATTATCACCTTTATACCCCTTACATGTAGGTGTGCTAGTTCACAAGGCTGGAAGCTACTGCACGCAGTTGAACTGAATGATCACAGCTGATTCTTTTGTTGCAGAAAGGTCAAATTTTCTTTGCATCACGTGTCAATAGTAAACAACATGGCGTTCCATTTAGAACACCCTACTTTCTTCGGCCGAGAAAAGGAAATAAAACTTATAACAGATTCTTGGACACAGCATCGGATATTTGGTATCTATGGCCCTCCCGGCATTGGTAAGGCAAGCTTAACGCGGGAGATTTTGAGACGGGTGTCTGCAAAGGCGTATGATGGTGACCTATGCACTATGTTCGTGTCGATGCAAAGTGTAAACAGTGCAAAAGACTTCTTTAAGTACGTTGCTCTCGAATTATTAGAAGACAAAGTGCCTTTGCTTACCGACGATTCAACCCCTGAGCTGCTGCAGCAACAAAGCATCGCACATTTAAAAAATATTGCTCCCTATGTGTTAATTTTTGAAAAATGCGAACACATCGCCGTGTCTGAGGCAACTACGAGAAACGTCAGTCATAACCTGCAGAATGTGCTGCTCACGTTTGTGTTTGACGTCATAAACCAGTGCCCTGATGTGAGGATCTTCATCGTTTCTCGCACCAAGTTTCAGTTCGCAAGACTGAATAGAGTATATTTTGAACAGAGTTTAATGCCACTTTGTGTTTCGGACGCAAAAGCCTTATTGCTTGACACTTTTCCTCACTCCGATGCAGAAAATGAAGGTCCATTTATAGATGATAATACTTTAACTCAACTTGCAGAACAATGTGCAAGATTGCCCCTTGCTCTAATCATTGTAGGTAAGTCGAATTTATATACATTTCCGGGAAGTTATATGTTACACAATTACGAAAGTGGATTTTTAAACTTTATTGTCGTTATGTATTTGTCCATTCATCCATTTAATGTGTTGAAGTATTATCTTGAGAACACCTCGAATTTTCTAGACAAAAAGAGACTGGGTATTATTTACTTTCTAACCATTACTTATTTATCTATCAAATAATATTTTTTTCATTTTGTTTAAATATTTTCTTGAGAATTTATACCTCGAATTTTCCCAGGGAGCATTCTACGTGATGGTAATCTGAGCCCAAGTGAAATGTTGGACCTCATGAAGGAAGAACGGCTGAAAGCTCTCAGTGACGAGAGTTTCTCTGACTCTGAGAGAATAGGTAGGTTTACTATGGAAAATGAATGTTTAGGTAGAAATATTGTCATACTGTGAAATACTTTGACAAAAAAAAAAAAAAAAACCAAGGCAGATATAGGCCTACAATAACATTTTTTTTCGAAAAATCTTTTCAAGCCTATACTGAGATAACGATTTCCCCTTTTCGAGTTACTTTGACTCTCTTGAAGTTTTGGTCACTTTTTAAAAATATGTTAAGTTAAAGAAAATGTGGACAAGTGACCAAATAGAAAAAATGTGATAAGTTATTGTTTTTTATTAATGATTCTCTCGGAAAAATCACACGAGAACAGTTTAACTAAGTAAAAATAAAAAAGACCAAAGTAAGACGCATTTCATTAGTTTCTCTTTCCCACGTTTTTTTTTTTTCAGATAAAGTGATTAGAACCCACCTTGCACGACTGACTGACGTTTTCAGACAGCACTTAGCGGCCATTGGTTATATCCCTGGTCATTTCAGCAAAGAGGCCGTTGCTGCAGTTTTGGGTAAGGATAGCATGCTTGAGTCTTTGAGATTCTGTCCAATGTATGTAGTAGTCTGGGACTGAAGAAAGAAGACAACTTTAAACAACATTATATTTTATATTCGCTGTGACATTGCTATTTAGTGAAGTACTGGTCAAATGGCAGTATATTTTTGAGTAAAATGACTAGTAAGATGAATTACATATAGATCCGGCTGTTTTCAAAGGAAATATGTCAATATATTGATATCCTCGTGCATTTCA